GCCGGCCCAGCCTCAACCTGTGACAGAAGCACAGGCCCACTGACTGGCACAGAGCTGCGGGGAGATCCAGTCAGCACTAGCTATCAGAAGGAACTCTGCAAGGGCTTCTGACAAGTGGATTGTGATCCAAAACCACAGCTCAGGAAGTTCAGCCTCGTTCTCATCTTCCCTAGCGTTAAAGCAACACCAAGAAATCCACCCTGCTGATGAGCTCAGTCACGTTAGACCGACTGCAAATCCAACGGATTTTCTTTTACATGTGAATAATAAAAGCAAGAAAGGGAAGTTTTATGCCCAAGAAAGTCTCTCATTCCTACATTTCCAATTCTCTAAAGAGAGGAAAAATCTCACTAGTCAACTATGTAGACGCCCAAACTACTAATTTTTTTTTTTCTATTTCCATTTTCCTTTTGCTGATTCTGTTCTCCAACACTACCGACACCCACGTTTTCCAACATGCTCCTTTCTCCGATTCAAGGTAGCAAATCCCATTTCCTCTGTTACCTGCGTGCTCTCCAATCCTCTTTAACACCCCATTTTTAATCACCCAATACCACTGACGATTTAAAAAGCACATATGCTGTTTTGCACAAACACAGATTCTACCTTAAAACCCACAACACACGAGGAAGAAACAGCGCTGGAACCTCACCACGCGCTCGCCAAATCCTACGCCTTAAACATTTTATTGTGTGTTCCCCAAAAACTTCACTGGAGGGATTTTGTCATGTGGAGTTACCCCCTCCCAACGGGTACCTGCAGTGGGGTCATCCTTGGGAATGTGGACGAGGGTGTAACACATGCCAGGCTGGTTGTAAGCCAGGCTGGGCGCTGGGATGCAACAGATCACGTCGTAAGCGTCCGAGGGCTCCATCTGCACAGTGACTCTTTCTAACAGCTGGTCATTTAACGTGTTCGTGCAATCAAACTGCAGGAGAAGAAATTGGAAAGGACTTGAACGCAGGAGGAACACTTCACGAACCTTTCCTCTGCATCGGCTACGATACTCCACGGCGCACAACAGCCATCCCACAGCTCTGACCAAGCCCAACGTTCTCACTGAACAGCCCTTCTCTCCAATTTTACCAGGATTCTGTAACGGATGGGATCGTAACCTCCATCCTTTTTTCATCATGGAGGCAAGCAGCACACACCCTCTTAACTCTACCGTGCAGCTCCCTTAAGAGAAAAGCTGTTTTCTCCTGAGCACAGCAACAACACTGTTTAGGCCACAGCCAGGCCTCGCTAAGGGCCAGCCCCTGCCGCACCCCGGCACGAAGCGCGTCACTTCTCCTACCTGGAAAACGATGTGATGCGTGAACACGTGTTTGATACAACGAACAAAATACTCCGTTTCTGCTTCTGTGAGCTGCACTGGTTCCGAAGACTTGAACAAGGGACCCAAGCTCTTAAACTCGGGAATAGCTGCCAGTTGTTCTGCGCAGGAAGGAAGAGAAGGTGACGGGCGCTTCGTGACGGGCTCCTTCCTCGCTCCCACCTGACCCGCCGCAATCCTGCCAGCACTTCAAGCGCTGCAGGCCCACCCGTCTTCTCTCGTACCTTGGAATATATCCTGACGCGAAGGAGCGACTTTCTCAGGCTTGCTGGTCACGAGGGCAATCTCTGGGAAGGCAAAAGCAAAGACATTCGTCAACTACACCCTGCAGGAGTTTTAAATGCTGTTGTAATCTCCACTGAAAACTCCTTAACCCGTAGCGTTTCACACGCTCTGCTGCAAACCATCGCCAGCCTGGTTCCTCACACGCACAGTGAAATACCCTTTCTGTGAGGCAGCGTTGGATTGTAAGGCCAGAAGAGCCGACATAGTCGAGTAATGATGAAGAAACCACACTTTATCCAGAATAACCAGCAAAAAAGCGGGAAGAAGGAGCAGAAGGGTAAAAAAAACCCAAAAAACCCCAAACTTTTTCTTAAAATGTTGCGCAACGTCAAAACGCAAGAGTTGTGTAAGAACGTGGAAGCAAGCCAGGGAAGTAGCCAAGCGCTTCTGGAACGTCCTTTTATCAATAACCTGTGAACTAATAAATTCTGACGACGTACAAACTCGTCTCGGATACCAAGACCAGCAGAACCACCAACAACATCCTGGCCAACCCATATTCCTTCGGAGGCAGCGCCGTCTTCCTTTATCCCTCAGGATCAGGCAGGCTGGCTTCTGCCAAGCCAGCGCCACCGTTACCTGCAGGGCATCCAGCTGAGCCACCCCCGGGCTCGGCCTGACCCTACGAGGGGGGCAGCCAGTCACCGACGTCGAGGGTCGTTAGGGCACCGTGAACGCCCCTTTGCCTATTTCAACGAAGCCCGAGCGGTACCTGCTTTCTGTTCAAAGATGGGTGCGGTGGCCAGCGGAACTGTCTTCATATCAAAAGGTTTGTCAGAAGGCTCCAGGGTGTATTGGTGCAGGGCTTTCTCCAAACCAGGAACAGAAACAGTCAACCCTGCAAAGTAGAAGTGCGGGCGGAAAAATCGCGTTTTAAGAGCAGGAACTCTCCGATACGGGGTTCACAAATGAATTCTGGATTGCCTGCTGCCCCCAAAAGCAGTAAGTCTGAAAAATTTAGGTTTCTCTTGAGAGAGAAACAAGGAAGATTATTTAAAGAGCTCTTCTCTGTAGCCTGTCCATTGGTTCAGGTTGCAGACAAAAACTTGTGAGGAATCTAGAGCTTACAGCTAGATAGATACGGTTTGGACTTTGGCTAATAAAAACTGATAAAAGCACCTTCCTTTCTCAGTAAACACACACCAAGTACTTCAAGATACTGGATAGAACAAAAAACTGCTATGAAGATGACACAGAAAGTCACCATTCTGGGAGATACTAAACAGTTCACTCAAGAAAAGTCCTTTGCAACAGTCTTAAATACATTAAATACTCTGCTTGCATGAATTTTCACCTACAGACTGTAAAACATTTTATAACCAGCCCTGGCAACCAGACGGGTTGTCATCATTTTGTAAGGAAGAAGACAGAGCAAAGGTTAAGAAACTTGTCCCAAGTGAAAGAAGAGGCAAGGCTGAAGAAAATCCCAGCCCGTGCTCCTGCTCCGTCGCCCAGACAACCCTTCTCCTGTTCTGCTAAATCTGCCACTCAGCCAGCAAAGCACCAGGGCTAGGGAAAACCACAGAGTTCTGTCCTTTCTAGTTACTCTGACCCGAGTTATATGATAGAAAACTATTCTCACAGCAACAAAGCCCACCCATAATGTGAAAGAACAGCTCAGACTTCTTTCTTTTCCGTCACTGACCGTTAAAAATATAGGCAGCATTCAGCGCTATCTGTCTCTGCTGCAGGACATTCAAGTAGAACGTCGCTCTGTCCCGAACTTCGTCATCGCTGTCCATCATGCACCTGTTTTGGGGAACGAGAGGCCAGCAGTCAGCCAGCTCAGGCCATCACGGGAGCCGAGCCAGACACGGCCCTGACAAGACTGGACCTGATACTGCAGTGGTAGCCTGAGCTCCCTCAACAGGTCTTCAAATTACGCAAAAAATCCTAGTCATATGTTTAACTTCAAGCTTATACCCAAAAGCAGAAGAAACAAGACTACAAAAATAACCATGTTAAAGCTGCTTTCTGTTTCAGACTGGGAAAACGGCTGCGTGCTCAAGCGTTCACCCACTTTGTCGTTTGCAGCAGGTGGTTTAGAAAGAGATTCTCTCTCCCTCCTGGCAACCAACCTCCCTCCCTCCCCGCATTGCTCAAGTCACTTCTTGCAGTTGTAATTCACTTGCACCTACGCTGAGGTTGTCTTCTGCCTGAAGCACTTCATCTCTGAGTTACTCCTCTCACCACAGACATGGTGCAGGTTTACACTACTGGGCTCTACAACTGCGTCCACATTGATGGTACAGACCATTTAAGGAGGTTGAACGGTCTGAACAAGGCACGAACCTGTGAAATGGGAAGACCCGAGACCGCTACTCAACCACACACACAAGTTATTTATGAGTAACACAGCGATAGAGTTTCTTGCTTCAAGGGATGCAAAAAAAAAGTACTAAACCACTGTAGATTTATTACCCACTGCAGAACATTCTCGGACTGGATGTTTTCATGACTAATCGCATCCTTCATCTGCTTATCTCCAGCCGTGCTGTGCTCCTCCGGCCAGCAAGGAGGGCTGGAAGTCAGCCATCTCCCACCTCCTCAACTGGGATGTTGTGACCACCCCAGCGCTTCTTCTGCGGCGCCAAACTGCCCAGCGTCACCACCGAGCTCGGCACGGGCACAGCCATTCCCACTCACCTCTGCAGAAGCACCAAGATGCTCGGGAGAAGGTTCTCGTTCTGGGCACCAAACTTTGCCAGCGCGCTGACGGCGGCTGGAGAAGGAAAGAGGGAAGATGTCAGAGATGCCCAAGCTACCTGCAAACACATCCACACAGTCACGAGTCAAAGCACCGAGCGCACTGTTGCCCCGAAGGTCCAATTTACACAAGTTTTCACTTCCACACCACGAACCTTCTAGTGTCATGGAAAGCCTAAACTATTTCCATATCTTCAAATGGAAACAGTTTTGTGCCAGGGACTAACAGAACATGATCAGCTTCACGGCCCTGCATCTCTGTTCTGAGAGAACTCTCTATCAGATGAGGTTAGTTCAAGCTCCACGGCTTGTTCCAGTTGTTGGCCCCCCTGCCATTAGCTGTAGCTCACACCCTCAGATAAATCTGTTTCCACAGACAGGGGTGACACGCATCCAGTGGTGGCCAGGGCCACACCGCATCCACTGACATCGCGAGGAGCCAAAAATCCCTCAGCGACCACTTCGAGCCGCCTGTCCAAACTCATCTGATTTCAGCTCAGCGTCAGCTTGAAGAAATTCCACACAGAAAGAAGAGAAAGCTTGACAAGGAAGGACAAGTTTTACGGCCTTGGTGGTTAAAAAAGAATCTGTATTTTCACAGTGACCAAGTTTCTAGGCAGCGGGTGCTCTCTGCGTGCTCCCAGGTCACCCTTAGGACAGCGTGCCCGAAAGAATCGCCACCAAAACCCAAATGCAATCTAGACCATGCTCTGTTTGTGAGCTCCTTGTGCTTCCTCTCCCCCCCCCGTGCTTCCT